TCCGAATTGATGCCCCGATAGTTGTGGGCCCAAATATAGTTAGTGCTGGACGTCGATGGGTTACCTGGCCAGATTGTTGTGACGAGCTTGTTGGTACACATCTTGGGAAGGATACAATATACAATGGACCAGGTGATGAGGAGAACATTGCTACTTTCAATATGGGTACAACACATGTCGAGTCAATTCTACCACACCACTTTTAAAAGTACTACGGAGGTAAGGGAATATACACCGAGTTCTTATAGAGGTCATAGTGCTAGAAGGTCTACCTCTAATACTCCATTAAGATTCATATGCATTAGATTTAATTTCTTAATATTTCTAATAAGTTGTCATATTTTTCTTACTATTATGAAAAGTAATTAATTTTGTTGAATTTTCATGCTATATAATAAGATGCTATATAAGGAAGATCAAATCCTTTAAAGCTTCTGAAAATTAACCACTTCTGCTATATTACTCAATAATGTACTCCCCAGTTATGGATGTGATCAGAAGCATTCCAACCAAACAAATGATTGCAGAGGGAGCCGCTTGCATGAAATTTTATCTTTTCCTACAAATGAGGTCCTTGAAGCCAATGTATCATCAAATGAACTTCAGATGTGTTATGCATATTTCGGGGGAAGACGAGGATTGCTTACTATGACACAAACATGATGAGGTGAAAAAAATTAAGGAATATAGGATTGGCTTTGAACTTCGAGATGTGGTTGGAAATAACCACAACAAAGATTTAGCAATCATGACGGCCATATTGTATCAATAGATTTTTTGAAGGGTCAAATTCATGAACTTAGTTGTGACAAAGAAGATATAGTTGAACTGGGGATTGAAAGGTCAATGCTTGACATAGAGTATTGTATTCTACACTATTATTGGTATCATAAACATGATCAATGACTATTAGATTATTATAAGATTTTGTTGTAATATTCTGAACATGGTAAGGAGAATGATTTTTTAAATGGAAAAGACCGGCAACAAATATAATAAGAATTTGAGTTTCACTTCAAATGTTATCCTACACAAACACAGCTCCAAGGTCATGTATGATATATACTGAAGCATATGTAATAATGATGTGCATACACTTATTATGTTAAATTTCAAATCTATATAAACTTAACTATATATTATTATATAGGGTTATGCTCCTACTTAATATGCCAGTTTGTAATTTTTTTAATTAACGATAATTTTTAATCGCACTCGATGTTATAATATTCTTAACTCAGACTATTTTGTTAAATGAGCATGTATTATTAAGTCACTCTATGTTGTCAAATCACTCTGTGTTGTTAAGTCATGTCATATTTGACCAACTCATAACAACATATCCTATCAAATCACACTGTGCTACTTATTAATTATTTATCAAATCATAATTGATCATGAAAATTGATCGAAAGAGCCTATAAATTGATGTATGCAGCTGATTCCCTACATTCTCAACTTCTGCTATAGATTTTCTTGTGGTTATTTTATGTTCTTGTGCAATGCATCGGAAGGAAAAAAACCCCTTTGAAGGGCTTGATCATAGAGGACAGTACCAGTTGGTTAAGGGAATGCTTAACACATTCCACTAATGAAGTGTTATATGAGAAGGCCATATCAAATGAACTTTATCGTTGTTATATACATTCTTGGTCTGATATGGAAGACTGCATATTATGAGACACATACGGCATAGCTATGATGATCCACTCTTACAGGGATGATGCCAGTTTGAACGAGAAAGGTTGGAAATATGTGCATAGGAGGGTTATGGAAATGGTAGGACATCTAGCACTAATGAAGATTCTGAAGGCAAGACATGTTGAAATAAGAAGGCTTGAAGATGGATCGGTTGAGGTGATTAGGGACAACCCAATAGCCGATATAAGACATTGCATTCTCTACTGAAAATGTCATCCTACGGCAGATGCATTCCTTGCTAATACATATGAGAATCTGATATATTGGCCAAGTAAAAGGAGGAAGGAGTCTCTTGATGCGTCGGATTGGGAATGCGTCCAGCAATAGATTAAAAAAATTCGGCTGTTACCCAACCCAAACACAACTTCAAGCCCGCACGCGCATGGTGATAAAGAAACGTTGAAGTCATTATGCTTTTAGAACTTTATAACCAGCGCATAATAATGACTTTAATGAAAGTGATGTCAATGTCGTTTGTGTTTGTTATGTTAGTATGTTTTAAGGATCTATAAGTTTAATCTTTTCAATTATATTTATAATGAAATTTTATACATTAATTTAATTTATTAATATAATTATTTAAATTTATATTAATATAATATAAATTGTTTATATATTGACATTTTAATAATAATTTTATTTTAATTTAAGTTTCAAAACTTTTGTAATCAAATTCATCATTAAATATTATTTAAATATCATTAAAATAATAATTAAATCATACTTATGTTAAATTTTATTTATATTTTATTATATAAGTATTAAAATATTATTTCTTATATATACTCTAATATTAATTAGATTTTATTAATATATATAATTTATATTCTTTGTCAATATATTTATAATGAATTTTTTGCATTATATTATTTATTAATATATGTATTTAAATTTATATTATTATAATGGATAGTTTATATAGTTATGTTTCAGTAACATTCTATTCTTAATTTAAGTTTGAAATCTTTTATAACCAAATTTAACATTACTGTAATTAATATCATAATGGGAAAATAATTATTTATAATGCACTTACTATACTTATATTATTCTATGTTTATTATTTTTTGAAACTATTTATACTAAATTCTCTATCTATATGTGTAATATTAAGTATATTTTTAATATATTTTTATTTCAATATATATATAAGAAATTTTAACATTAATATTATTATTCATATAATTATTTATTTATTATAATAATTTATATTTTATGTAATATAACACGATAGTTAGATGTTTCTATATATTTAATTAATATATCTTTTGTTTAATATTTCTTAATAAATTTGTGTGATTTCTTTTAAACTAATAAATTAACCTATACAGGACTTCGGGAGTAATTGAATATATATATCCATACAAAATAAGTTTAAAAGGATTCTTTGTATGATTTCTTAACTTTACATAAAATTTAAATCATCACTTAACCGATTTTTTTTTTTAAAGATAGGGAATAATATTTTGATTTAATATTTTTAAAAAGATATATAGGGAATTAAATCTAAAATTCTAGTTTTATTATTTTGGTCAAATTTTCTAAGATGTCCTGAAATAGGTTCAAACATTAAGAATAACATACTAATTAATGAATTCATGAAACAAAATGTTAAAGATAGATATTGATAAATTTACAGTCATTAAAATTTTAAAATAACAAATTTATAGAGGTCAAGGGCTCTTAATTTGCGACAACAGTTATAAGAAAAGGACGACCGAAATTCACAAGAGCACGAAATTAGTAGATCACGGTTGCGAATCAATGATGCCGGCGTGGAAATGGAGGAGATAATGACGAGCTAAAATGATGAATTTATATTATATTTTAATTTTTTTTTATTTACAATCTTTATTCATATTTAGACATTAAACTTGCTCATTTTTATAATTCAAAATTTAAATATATTTATATTATATTTAATTATAATTTATAAATTATGATAACTATACTTAAATTTTTATATTTATAAAAATTTATATATAATTTTTATTATAAAAAATATATTTAAATCTCTTAAATTAACGTACATAGGAGTATCTGAAACTGAAATGCCATAAAAATGCAAAATGTGCTAAGACTTTAGGCGCATTCAAAGAATGCGCCGAACCTATTGACGCATTCTTTGAATGGCCCGTACCGTTCGGCGCAGTCTTTGAATGCGCCCAAAGGACTCGCTCATTCTGAATGGCGCATTCTTTGAATGCGCCCAAAGGACTCGCTCATTCTAAATGCGCAATACCTCATAGCGTGTCCGCTGCTTTTCAAATATCCTCCCATTGTCACTCTTGCTAAATTTGACCAAACATATGCTCATTCCTTAAATTTGGCCCACAAAAAATTCAAAAAAGAAAAAAAATTCAAACAACCTTACCTTGCGGAAGAAGCCGGAAACCATATAGCAGCTGGGCCGAATGTTTGCGATTTTAGGGCATAAAATGGAGTTTTCATGGGGATTAAGAAAATGGGGTAAGTCGCCCGCTTAACGGGCGACTTACTTTAATATAAGTTGACCGTTAAACGGGCGACGTTCCTTGGCGTGTTTAAATTTTTTTTTTACATTGGTTAATACTGAATTATAATTTAAACTATACTTAGTTTAAAAAATTGCACTCCCAAATGAAGCCTAAATAATATAAAAAAAATCATTACTTGTATTATTTATAAATATTTGTTTGATGTCTTTCATGCATGGATTGCATCTTATGACAAAAAATTTCAATGAATCTTACCACAAAAAAATATTATTGGTGTTCATTATCTAACTCATATGAGACAATTACACGAACGAGAGGAAGCTTCTTATGCTTGTTATTATAGGTGTAAGTGAGTCGAGCTAGCTCGGGAGCCGGCTCGAACTCGACTAGTTAACAAGTTCACGAGTTGAACTTATCGTGCCACAAGTTCGAGCTCGAGCCTATAGTCGAGCTCGCATTTTATTCGAGCTCAAGCTCGAGCTCATTACGTGACAAGTGTCAGAGAATAGATTTTAAAAGAGGAATTTTAATAAATATTTGTTAATCTTCTTCATCATGATCATCTTTTTATTTAGATCAATATAAATGTTAAGATCAATCAACTTAATACATTTATTTATTTTCCAATTTTGAATATTCTTAAGATATATCTGCAAAATATTATTGGCCTTGAAAAGAACAAAAATCCAACGGCTCAAATTACAACGTGAAATTTCTTTGCTATATTTGGTAAAATCGCCTTCGTTCTCGTCTTTTCTCTCACATCAAATCACCGAAAGCCTTATTCTCTCTCTCTCTCTCTCTTCCTATATCTGTATATTTTCTCCCTATTCTTCTTATCTCACGCTTCATCTTTCCGTTTCCTAGGGCTAAGGAAAGCCTGTTCTTTAGGCAGAGGACGAGAGCCAATCCTGGTTGAAGAAGCCATCGTCTCCTTCTTCGATGTGGTAACCGCCTTTGTTTCGGTAACAGAATAAAGAATTTGTGGGACTCTTTCATGGCTCTTGTTGTTATTATATTTTTTTTAATGTTTTAGCTATCTCTGATCTATGAAATACTGTATAAATTTAGCTCTTTTAGGAGAAAATTCCGATCAAAATTTCGATTATGATGAAATTTAAAGTTCATAAATTTATCTTCTAAAATATACTGCAGAAGAATTGAAAGATTGTTCATTTATTTCAATGATCTCAAAACAAATTTAAAAATATGTAAAATTAATATCGTTATAAAATTTGATCCGATTTTTTTTTATGAGTTTTTTTTTTCTAATCTTTCTAATCGATAGATATGCTTTGATTTCAGGAACATAGAACAGAGAACTCCCCTATAATATTTAGTTGCTCGGAATTAATTATATTAATCTCAAATTACATATTCAAGTTAAAAAAAAAAAGAATATTTCAGCAATTCTTCCGCTAAAAATTCTATTTTTTTCATGATTGCAGAGTGGATCTGTCAGACATGGAATCTGCAGTATTGAAACCAATCAGCAGCATGGCTGCCGGCGGGCAAGCGGTGCTGGCGAACACGCCATGCGCTGGCTGCAAATTTCTCCGGCGAAAATGCCAGCAAGATTGCATCTTTAAGCCCTATTTTCCGCCGGACCAACCTCAGAAATTTGTGAACGTGCACCGCGTCTTCGGGGCCAGCAACGTCTCCAAGATCCTCAACGAGCTGAGCCCGTTCGAGCGGGAGGCAGCCGTGAACTCGCTCTTTTTCGAGGCGGAGATGCGCCTGCGTGACCCCATTAAGGGCTGCGTGGGCATCATCTCGTTGCTCCAACGCAAACTCCGTCAGCTCCAGATCGATCTCTTCACCGCTCAATCTGAACTCGTGAAATGCCAGTCGCAACTGCAGCAGAAGCAGCAGCAACATCAAAAGATGATGATGATGCGAGGCTATGCAGCGGAGATGGTTGGGTCGTTTGGGAGGCCGAGTCTGGCTGTAGGGGACGATCACCAGCACAACACTCTCGGAGCAATTTCTTAAATGTTCATGCATCTTCATTGCTTGTACTTGCATGCGCCATTGATTTCAGAATGTTCTCCCTCTCTCTCTCTCTCTTTTTGTTCTATTTTTTTTTATTTTGTAAGAGGGGATTTAGGGTTCATGCAAGCTAGAAATTTAGTAGATGGATGGAATATTGGGTGTTTGAGTTTGGGAAGAAGTTGGCCATAGGGGTCTTTGGCATATATAAGACATTGTTAATTTGGAAGGAAAATGGTTGGTGTGTACACTTATAGTTCTTGTTGATTAATTTTGTGTTATTAATGGAAAAATATTTATGTTAGGAGATTTTGATCGATTTTTGTTAGAATGATGTTAAAAAAAGGCCAAATTTTAGGAAGAAGCACGGTTCGTGCCGTTATTAGGGGAAAAAGCAGAATTGTGGAATAATTTAAAAAGCAGCAATTACGCCATAAAGTATGGCGTATTATAGAATGCACTTAAATTAAATGTGCATTCATAGAATGCACTAATACATAAAGCGCATTTCATAGAATACGCTGAACAATAGAGCGCATTCTTAAGAATACGCTTAAACGTTAGGCGCAGGCGGAATAAGAATGCGCTTAAAAGTTAAGCGCATTCCGTGCACTACGGGAAAACCCGTCATTACCGGTGGATAATATCCGCCGCTCATACAAGATTTCCGTCGGACTTATAGGTTTCCGACGCACTTTCCGGCGGAATACCCTGCGACGGTTTGGAGCGCATCGATAAAAGTATTCTGGCGCATAATATGCGAAGGAAACCTTTCCGGCGCACTTTCCGACGCATTACCGGCGCAAAAAATGATGGCAACGGTCGACATTTCGACCGCTGAATCCGGCGCCATATGCGCCAGTAATTTGTGTCGTATGCATGCGCCGGTAATTACCGGCGGATAAAACGCCGTTGATACTCCGTAAATAACTTGTTGGATGTTTACGGTGCAAAATATGCGTCGGAAATTTCCGGCGGAGATGACGCTTTCGGCGTACGAAAAGACGCCAGTTAGATCGATGCGGTTCGTTGTATCGTCGTTTCCGGCGAATTAGCAAAATCCGCCGGAAACCTGTAGCATTGACAAAAAAAATTGCCTTCCCAGCCAACAATCATATTTCCATACCTGCGAACCTATACAAATATATATCCACAACAGTTTATAACATTTCCAGAACAGTTTATAGCAATTAAAAGATGCACAAAAATATAAATACTCATTAAAAGAAACTGTTCAATAGTAACAACCAACTAAAAACATCAGATATTGTTCAATATTACATATTCAAATAAAATAAACAAGTTCATAAAATAAACTAAACTACTCTGAATCCGTGGACTCCTCCTCAACTGGAGCTACCTCTTTTCCACTTATCTGCTCCCTTATTTTGCGCATTTCATCCAACAACTGCTTGGGTTGCTCCTACATCTGCATTTGAACCTGTGCTTGCAACTGAGCTTACCAATCAACTTGTGATTTCCTTACTTGTTCTAGCTCAGCTTGTAGGGCACTTATTTGTTGAGCTTGCAATGAGTCATGAGAACTGGATGCAGTAGAGGAGGTACTCCCTCGATGCCCTGAGCTTGCACACCTAAACCATAAACTCTCCCATACTGCATTCCTCCGACGGCCTCGACAGATGCATTACTCAGAAAATCCACAGAGCCACCAGAAGAGCCTCACCTGCTGCCGACATGAGTATCTCAAAGCCGTGTATATTTCCTAGTGAAAGTAGAGTATAAATATTGATTATTAAACTAATAAATAAAAATAGAAACACATATAAAATATTAGCTTACATGGGCTTTCCTGCTCTCTATCAATCCATGTTGACCTCCCTGTCGCTTATGATGTTGCGACTATGCAATTTCCACAGGAGTGGTTCTCTACCAAGCGTCTCTTCTGTATAGAAGACACTTATTCTCAAAAATGAATAGCTTCCATAATAACACTTTGCTCATATGATTAAGCATTTCCAAAAGGCTAGTAGCTACCTTCCCACTACCTAAATCAATTGAGATATAAGATCATCTAGCTTGGAAATGTATATGAAGAAAATCATAGGCTAAAGCAAAAGATAACATAGCGTCATCCTCTATGCATATGTATGGTTAAGAACATTCCATGCTAAAGCAAAAAAAAGAAATCATGGGCTAAAGCAAAAAAGATATGTTCTTAAACCTAAAATCTATGTAATCCAACTTGAAATAGAAAAAATTTCGTCAAAAGAACAAAAAACAAAACCTTCCTCGTCGAGATGAACGACCGTCGGCGTTGAGCGACCAACAAAAGCTATGAGACTCGTCGGCAAACTCCTTGACGTCGGCGATCTACGGGGCGAGCGACGCATACGGCGAGCGTCGGAGGGCACAGCGATCTACGGGCGAGGTGAGAGAATAGAAGGAGAGAAGTTGACGGGCCATGGGGCTCAGTTTCAGAAAATAGGTTTTCTCCGGCGGATTCCGGCGGATCGGACGCCGAGGTTTTCCGGCTAACATCCACCGGTATTTGTTTTTCGTTGAGTTTAAATTACCCGGAGCATATTCCGCCGGTAATGGCAGCCAGTGATTTTCGCCGTAAGTGCGACAGAAATAATGAATATTGCGTTATTCCGACGCATCTATCGGCGCAAATATCGCGCTTGGAGAACTTTGCTGGCGCGTTTGCGCCGGAAAGTCCGCCGTAGATTCTTCCGGTGGCTTACGGCGCAAAGAATATCGCCAAAATTTCGAGTAATCGACTTGTTTCCCGTAAGTGGTGTGTTGCGGATGTGTGCCAGCGTGGATATTATCTGTTTTGTCTTATCGTTCACGACCAGATCGTAATATTTGCGGCATATTTGCGTGGTTGAGGTGGCATTCAGTGCAGCAAAGTAATGAGAGGCTTTAATGAGATGGCGTTGGGGTTATCCCATGGCGTTGGGATATTAGACGCCTATTAAAATCGGGGTGGCTGAATGAGAAAGTGCCTCAGTTCTCACTTCCATTAGATAGAGAAAAAGAGAGGTAATTAAAATTATTTTGAGTATGTTATTTCATTTTTTGATTAATAATTTTCTTGAGTTTTTATTATAATGCTTTTATTTGTAAATCTGCAAAAGTAATATGTATGATAATGTACCCTGGGATACGTCATCAAAACAATTAGCTGATATCGCACGATTCTCGAGACAAAAAGCACTGGAAACTTAAAAAAATTAAATTTAGGTTCATCTGATTCCAATTCAGCAAAACTTATAGTCAAATTGAACATCTCAAGAGATGAACTGAACAACATCCGAAATTGGTCCAAACCAAGCCCAAATGGGGCCAGAATCGGGGGCCCGGACCACATTTGGAAGGGTAAAGCATATATTGGATACATGAAATGAGTTCCAAATATGAATCTTATATCAAATCGAGCGCTCGGCGGACGAATCCCCCCCCCCCTCTTTCACCCCCCCAAACGAGGCCAAGATCTCTGAATGTCCGACATGTTTAGACACTTAAACAGTTAAAAAACTCTCTATGATGGGGAATCAATACGAGCCATCCGATGGCCTATTCTGAACCTGCCCCGGATCTTCTCTAAGATTTACGGGTGCGCACTCATTGAAAATCTATAAATAGACCTCATTCTCTACATAGAGCGAGACCTTTTGCTTGAGATTGAAGAGATGTCCTGAGCTTCAAGAGTCTAGCACACACCGCACGCAGTCGCCTGCCGCCGAGACCACGTCGCCGCGTCGCCAGACCACCAACCGCGCCTGTCGCCGGACCACCGCACGGCGCGCCGCCTGCAAGCCGGACATCGACCGCCGCCTGCTGCCGGCGACACTGCCGCCGCCTGCCATCGAACAACACGCCCGGCCGCCGCCCTGCGTCAAGGACCACCGCACGCGCCGCCTGAACACAGCCCGCTTGCCCGTCGACAACGCCAGGCCGCCAGGCCTTCGCCGGACCACGCCCGCCGCCAGCAGGAACCGCCGGACCGCCGGTCGCCGCGTGCAGCTGACCACGCCGACCGCCTCCTATGCCGGATCCACCGCCCGGCCGGTTCGCCTGCCTCTGGACCACGCCGCCGCCGCTGACCCACCTCACCGCCGGCCGCGTCCTGACGCCGGTACCACCGCCGACCGCCGCCGCAGCCTGTCGCGGACCACTCCCGATCACCGCTTGCTCACCACCCGGCCTTCATCCTGCGCCAGACACTCCCGGTCGCCGCCTGCGCCGGACACTGCCCGGCCGCCTCCTGCGCCGGAACCGCGCCTCGCTGCCACCGCGCCACCACCATCGCCTGGTCGCCGCGCTGCCAGCTTCAGCCCGACCTCGCGGACTTATCCGCTCGGCCGCCACTTGCCGGCCAAGTCGTACGACCAATCTCCAGGACCTTTGACTGGTCTTACAATCACTGTATCTCGACGCCTCAAATCGAGGACGGCGTCAACCCTTTAATCACTCAAGTTAGGAATATTTTCACCTGGCAAGGCCCCGTATTTTCCCTCTTCGAGCTTCCACGTAAAAAGATTTGGTGTTCTACTTCTCTCTTCTGTTTGTTGTTGAGATATTCGTGCATCGCTAAGACAAAAGTTTACTTACTCTACCGCCACGAAATCTTTCAACCGCAACAACCCCTGATGAATTTGCATTTGAAGACTTAAGTTTGTTTTTATTTTTATTTTGTTTGTATTTTCTCACTTACGAGTTTGTATTCTTATAGTTTGATTTGTGTTAATGATTGACTGGAGAGCTTATATTGGAAACAATAATTTTAATTTTTCATCATGCTTAAATTTGAGATTTATTTGTAATTCATATGTTTGACAGACACTTTATGATGATAAATTGACATCTTGTCACTGCCTTGCCCGAGTCTATAAAAAATTAATAAAAAAGTAATAAAATAATTTATTTTTTTTAAAATAATTATTAAAACTATAGAAAATTATATATATATATATTATTATAATATAATATATACTATATATATTATATTATATTATATAAGTAAAAGCCGGCACAAAAAACGTTTAGAAGGAAATAATTCCAGCAAGTAACATTGCCAAGAAAAGTGATTTTTTTGGCCCAACTCACGGCTTTGGGTCTTCTCTAGTGTTGTACTGTCGAAGACCCAAATCACGTCCATGCATGAGAAACATTGATGAATTTTGCAGATTGGAAGTTCAATTTTATTTGCCAGTCTGAGCCTATCCCTTCGACCTTTCGATCTTGATGAGCTGAAGTATTTTATGTTTAAATTCCGCCCTTAATACGTG